GATACATGGCATCAGAAGTCACCGTTTATTAAAATTTCATGTGATGATTATTAGAGCACATGGGAGGTGTGCTTGCTGGTGTGCTTGTACCACAGTATTCACGTGGCACTCAGAGAATAACTTGCAGCAGCTGCTTCTCTCTGTTCACTAAGTGGATCCTGGGGATTGAACTCAGGTCATCAGACTTAGCTACAAGTGCCTTTAGTGGCTGAGCCAACTTGCTGGCCCAAATATCAGCATTCTTATGCTCAAAAGATATAATTCTACTAGGCTATGGTGGCTCACATCTTTAATCCCAACACTCAGGAGGCAGATACAGGGGAGTCTCTGAGTTCTAGGTCAGCCTTGTCTACAGAGTGAGTTCTGGGACAGTCAGGACTACATAGAGAAATCCTGTCTCAAAAAAACAGCAAAACAAAACAAAACATAAACCCCCCCCAAAACATCTAATTCTATCTGGGACAGTCATGACTACATAGAGAAATCAATGTCTCAAAAAAACAGCAAAACAAAACAAAACAAAAAAACCCAAAACATCTAATTCTATTTAGTCTTTTATTATTCTGAGACGAATTTTTTTAAAAAAGAAAACCAAATGATTTAAAGAGTAAAATAGCACAGATATGGTGAGGTGGCTGACATTGACCCTCGGGTTGACAGAGTCTAGAATGATCTGGTTGATGAGTGTGTGCAGTTGTTTCAATGGCATAATTGAAGTGGGAAGACACGCCCACTGTGGGTGGCACCTTTTCTTGGCTGGGATCCTGGACTCGATAGTGGATGTAAGTGGTGAGGGGAGCTGGGAGGCAGCATCCGCTCACCACTACGTCCTGGTGGGGGCTGAGATGCCACCAGCTGCCTCAGGCACTTGCTGTCTTGACCACCATGATAGACTGCATGCACTCTTGAGCTGCAAGCCAGAGCGAACCCTCCCTCCCTTAAGCTGTTTCTGTTAGGGCATTTTTATCATAGCAACAGAAAAAGAATCTAAAACATTTAGGGCTTCAGATTTCTGGGATAATTCCCTCTTCTAGCAGTGTACAGAATATGTTGTCTAGAACTCTAGAGAAGTTTGGAAGATTTATATTAGTGGTTCTCAACCTTCCTAATGCTGTGACCCTTTAATACAGTTCCTCATGCTGTGGTGACCCCAACCATAAAATTACATTATTGCTTATGGTGGTATGTTATGTGGCAAGTTTTAATAAATCATAATATATCACCACAGTTGCCACTTCATAACTGCAATTTTGCTACTATTATGAATCATGGTGTAAATATCTGATGCATAATATCCAATATGCAACCCCTGTAGAAAGGTTGTTCAACCAAAGTGGGTCTTGACCCACAGGTTGAGAACCACTGATTTACATGATTGCAAGAAACAAATGTGAAGGAATGTGTGTGAGTGTGTGTATATATGTGTGAGAGTGTGTGTATATGTGTGTGTGAGAGAGTTGTGTGTGAGTGTGTGTTTGCATGTGTAGGAGTATGTGTTTGTGCACGCACAAGCGTGTGTAGGAGTGTGTGTTTGCATATGTAGGAGTGTGTGTGTGTGTGTGTGTGTGTGTGTGTGTGTGTGTGTACAACTTGCAGGAGTTGTTTCTCCCCTTCCATCATGTGCATCTGGCTGACGCCATCTTCAATTTGTGTTGTAACCTTTGCTGGCCTGGAACTCTCTCTGTAGTCCAGACTGGCTTCCAACTCAGAGAGATCCACTTGTTTCTGCCTCTCCAGTGCTGAGATTAAAGGCTTGCATCACCATGCAAGGCCATCATCTTCATTTTTGAACATAGATAAAATAGATGTGCCTAAGTACTCGCATTCCAAGCATGCAGTTCTAACAGCTTAAAGGAGTAAACACTGAACACCCCAGCAGTCCTAATAGAACCCTAAAGGCCCTCTTGTTTTTTTTTTTTTTCTGGTGCCCTTTTATTTTTTTAATTTTGTATCTGTTGAAACTTTGCTACAGTCCTAAAACACAACGAGGTCAATTACAGGGTGTGATGGCTACTGTGTCAATTTGATACACCTGGGAAGAGATTCAATGAGGGGTGTCTATACTGGGTTAGCCTGTGGCTGTGTTATGAGAGATTGCCTTAATTAATTGATGTGGGAAGACCCAGGTACCACTCCCCAGGCAGGGTAATCCTAAGCCCATAAGAATGATATGTTGCTTTGAATGGAAAATGGCCCCCATTGGCTTAGAGAGAGTGGCATTATTTTAAAGGTTTAGGACATATGGCCTTGTTGGAGTGGGTGTGGTCTTGCTGGAGGAAGTGTGTCACTGGGGTGGGCTTTGAGGTTTCAGAAGCTCAAGCCAGGCCCAGTGGCTCTCTCTCTTCCTGCTGCCTGCAGATCTGGAGCAGGGCTCTTGATTCCTTCTCCAGCACCGTGTCTGCCTGTGGGCTGCCAGGCTTCCTGCCGTGCTCCCCACCATGGTGACAATGAACTAAACCTTCTAACTGTAGCCCAGCCCCAGTCAACTGTCTTCCTTTATAAGAGTTGCCATCGTCATGGCATCTCTTCACAGCAGTGAAACCCTGGCTAAGACAAAGTAGAAATAGAGCTGAGCACAGACAGATAAACAGGTGAGCATGCAGACGTTTGTGTCTGTGTGCTCTTGACTGTGGATATGTCGTGACCAGCTGTTCCAAGTTCCTTCACCACTATAATGGACTGTACCTGGAACTGTAAATGGAGATAAGCCCCTCCTCCCCCGAGTGACTGGCTTTTTGTTTGTTTGTTTTTTGTTTTGTTTTGGTCAGAGTATTTTATTCCTGTAGAAGAAATGAATCTAGATCAGAGTTTAGCCTGTCAAGTTGCCACCACTGAAAATCCAATTTAAGGTTCACCTCAGAGAGAAAAACAGGGAGAAGCTTCTTCTGGACTTGTTAAAGAAGGGGCCTGGGTGGGTGCAGAATGCAGAAATAGAAAGGGATTCTTTTCACCCAAGACTTGGTGTTCTTAAAATGTAAGAATTTAGGCTGGCTCAGGGGTTGAGAGTACACAAGTTCAGTTCCCAGCATCCCATAGGTGTCTCACAATCACCTGTAACTCCAGCTCCCTCTTCTGGCCTCCACAGGCACTGCACTCATGTGCATATACCCATACATAGAAACATACAATACACACACACACACACACACACACACTTTTTAAAAGTGGGAATAGATTCCAGGTAAACAGCCTAAGATCTACTAGATCTTCTAAACTCCTCAGATGCTTAATTCGGTCTAGAAAGTAGGCTTCAGGCACAAGCCTATGCCTGTCACTATCTCCTCCTGGTAGTACCAGATTGGACCCTACAGTGAGGGACAATTAAGCAGCAGTGTGTTCAGAAACTTCATCAAGACAAAGGAGGAAACTAAAACCCAAAATGATATAGGGTGAGAGGCCAAACCAGCCTGGATCACAGAGAAATCAGCCAAAAACAGGCTGGCTTGTGCCAGCCCTTCCCAGCATAGTTGTGGCTGGAAGCTTGGGTACAAAGAAACCCTCTTCCTACTGCTGGACTGGCTGTTTCTCAGAGTATCTGGCTCCTGGCAGTAGTTTCCAACAGGGACATAGCTCTGAAATGTTCGTACTGGTCCAATAGATGGCATGGCCTCTCACATCCATCAAGGCTGAGGAATAAACAAAGTGTTTGTGAGTACCGTCAGCTTGACTTGTGAGTATACAACAGACCCCATGCTGAGAGCCCAGATAATAGAGTCAACCTTTGATCCTACTTACCATCCTGAAAAGTACTCCAGGGGAGGACTAACGAAACTCCCGCTGAATCTACCCCTCTCCTTACCTGCTGGCCTATATCTCATGGGTGTCTATAATTTTAAGACTGCCAAAGCCATCTTAAAGAGACAGACCAGGTCTTACCCTGGTTTGGTCAAACCATACATAGGCCTATTCCCCTCTGTCGACTCTTTTTTCCTGATTTCTCCTGGAATACAGAGAAACCACGGTAGCAGACTTTGGATCTGAGTGTCAGGTAACAAGCTTGGCTCTTAGGGACAGGGACAAGGATACCAGTGAGGCCAGAGCAGAGGACAAGGTCTAGCTAGTAGTGAGGGCGGTCTCAGCAGACATGCTTGCTCCTGGGGTACCATGTAGGGATGTGGCTGTGCTCTGAGTGACAAGGAACCAGGGTGGGCTCTGGGCATGTACAAGGAAGGTTCTGCAGAAGGCTCTATAGGGGTGTGTGCGCGCTCGCACATGCATGTGTGTGTATGACTGGGTGTTGTGAAGCTCAGGCTGGTTTCCAACTCACTATGTAGCCAGAGCTGGCCTTGAACTCCCGATCCTTGGGCCTCCACCTTCCAAGTGCTAGGAAATCACAGACCTGGTAGGATCCTTCTGATACTGTGCGGAGACTGACAACAGATAATGGGCTTGGAAGCCAGAGGGTCAGCTGGGGAACAACTTGGGGGATGGCAGGAGCAGGTGAGGAGGTACGGGGGACAAGTGCCAGGACTGGGGTGGATGTGTGTGGGGTCCAGCTCCACCTGGGCCCCCTTTTCATGACACCTGGGAGAAAATGTGCAGTCTTCCTTCTTGACAGACACACCAGCTGCTCTCAGGTAAAGTAGAGCCCTGACCATTGGTCTTCGAAAGAAACTGCCCTCTAGGCTAAGCATGGAAGGGAGCCCTCCCAGAGTGTGTGTGTGTGTGTGTGTGTGTGTGTGTGTGTGTGTGTGTAAGCAGGCGCAGGGCTGACTTCCTCGTGTAATGTGACCACAGACAGGATCCTGAGGCCCCGCTGTGATCCCCACCACAGTCAGGAGTGTGGCTTTGGGACAGTCCTGAGCAGCGCTAGTTCCCGGTGAGGTGGACAGTTCCACAGCTCACACTACAGGAACAGAAACACAGGTCAGGGAGGGTGGGGGATGGGCTGGGAAGTGTGGTTTGCAGGAATGTGTCACAAAGGCTCCCCTGGTCGCTCTGGTTCAGTCTCCTCCTCTCTGCCCCCTCCCATCACCACCGGAGCCCGCCTCCCCAATCCCCTCTCCTCCCCTGGGCTGCAGCCCTGGCAACCCCTCCCTTCCCGCTCCTCCCTCTCCATCCCACGTTTTCCAGCCGGGCCCTTAGAGTGGGGGCCTCCGGGGCTGGCTGGACTGGGGCTCCTGTGGTCCTCCTGTGTTGTTGGCGGTGACCCGTGGCCACTCTGTAGCCGCACACCCTCGAGCCATGTCCTGGGCCGCTCTGCTCGGCCTCCTGGCCGCGCTGCTGCTGTTGCTGCTGCTGCTGAGCCGCCGGCGTGCGCGGTGAGTGTCCCCGGGAGGCGCATCAGGGTGGAGAAGAGACACCAGGTGCAGCTGAGGGTTGGAGGTGTGCGACCCGGACTGAGCTGCTATTACCCACGCTGCAGCCTCCGTGGTGTCTGGTGCACGCTTATTTCTAGACTTACTGTGGCTCAATCCCGGGTGGGATTGCTGAGGATGGACCCGAGGCCCGGCTAGGGACACACTGGTTCTGAGAGATTCCCACTCACGGATGATGGTCCCATGATCCACGACACACCCACCACCGGAGAAACTGAGGCTCACCAGTCCCGCTAACTGGGTAGGGCAGAACCAGATTCTTGGTCCCTTAAAAGTGTGGTGGGTGCCCTTGGAGACTGCCATTTTGGAGAAAAAAAAAACCTTTAAAACTTCTCTTCATGCCGGGGAGTTCAACTGGCAGTAGTTCTTTGTGTAAGGTATTTTAAAGTTAGTTTGAATCGCACAAGACCGACTTAAAGCCAGGGCCTCTCATCCTGACTCTTCTCCAGGCCTTTCCTGTTGCTCAGTTTGAGAGGAACTTTCCAGATTTAAAAAAAAAAGAAAGAAAAGAAAAGAAACAAACCCCAGGCACATACTCACTATTTCAGTCTAGTCTGGGAGTTACAGAGAAGTGGCGTTATCGCACTTCCCTTCAGCTACTGCTCCAGCTGCTCACAGCTCACATCCGACATTCTTGCGGGATGTTTGTCCCATTTAAAAAGCAGCCCTGGTCCATGGCTGGTGGCTGAATTTCAGACTGTGAGGTTCATCAGCCTTCTGGGTTAACTTCCAGGGTCTGTCTGCACCATCGGTTCTCTAGAGTTGCCAGCCTGACATCCCCAGATGTTTCAACAGTTGTTCCCTTCCACAGACTGCAGCTCTGGGGTTGCGTGTTTACATTACAGCGCCTTAAAAATCCCAGAAAGACTGGGAACCTTACATTTTAAACAATGCCTGTGTTGAGTTTTCCAACAGTCAGCTCACTCCAGGCACTTTTCCAGGTGAAAGTTAAAACTATGTGTTTGCTCGTCTGCCCCAAAAGGAGGGAAGGAAAATTCAAAACCCTCTCCTGTAAGGGTTAGCTGCATGTCCCATCTGTCAGCTCTCTCTGCCCCAGGTCTGTGTCTGCAGCTTCCAGAGTTTCTTTTCTCACACCAGATGTTAGACGTTGTGACGTCTGTTGTGACATCTGTTCATGCTTCCGTCCAGGTCACTCGTACGCTTCTTTATCCTTTCTGTCCATGTTTTTGTCCATGGACGTTTTGGTGGTTGTGAGAGCTTTCTTTTTAAACAAATTACATGTATTTATTTATTTATTATTTGTGTGTGTGTGTGTGTGTGTGTGCGCACGTGCGAACACACACCACAGCGTTCACATGTGGAGGCCGGAGGACAAGTTGCAGGCTCTGGTTTTCTCACCATGTGGGTCTTGAGGTTCCAACTCGGGTCATTAGATTTGGTGACAAACACCTTCAGCCACTGAGTCATCTTGTCAGCACTATTTCTATAGCTCTCTGTGTCTCACATAGGGTGCTCTGGTTTGCCTGTAGGGGCCGGTGACCTGTGCTGTGCCCTGGGGCAGGTAGGACAGCTAAGAAGGGGATGGATTTTGTGAGGATGGACCCTGGCCATTCTCCCAGCAGGAAGGTGGAGCAAGTTAGTGTCCTCTGCCCCAGTTGTCAGTGTTTCAGGTGATGATGATGATGGTGGTGGTGATGATGATGATGGTGGTGGTGGTGATGATGATGATGGTGGTGGTGATGATGATGATGATGGTGGTGATGATGGTGGTGGTGGTGATGATGATGATGATGATGGTGGCAATAATGATGACAGTGGTGATGATGATGATGATGATGGTGGTGGTGATGATGATGGTGGTGGTGGTGGTGATGATGATGGTGGTGATGATGATAATGATGATGACGACAGTGTCCTGGGGTGGTGGGGGAGGGTGCACACCTCACAGCAGTGCGGTCTGGGCTGACTGTTGTCTAAGGATCTGAGAACTCCTTTATCTTGGGATGAAACTGTGGTTCTTATATCTCTGGGTGTTGAAGAAGATAGTGTTGCACAAAGACAAAGCAGAAGTAACTCAGCAGGGCAAGTTCTTTTCCAAAAAGGGTTGCACCATGGCCCAAGCCAGGCTGGCAACAGCTTGTCTAGCATCTGACCAGCTATCTTTTGGTTCCAAGACACAGCCCTGGCGCGCTGTAAATTCACACAAGTCTCTCAGGTCTGCCCATCTCAGTCATTCCCCAGTGGTGTTTGGCTAGCGCTGGAAGCACACGGCTGGGAAAACCCTAGGTCCTCTCTAAAAACCAGTAAAAAAAAAAAAGTCATGCAAGACAGTGTGTCAAGCATTAAAAAATTCACCATGGTGAACTGCTATTCCATCTTTGGTTTGATATAAAATGCGTTGACCTTCTCCCTGGCAATAGAGCCAGCGTTGGCATTTCCCCTGGGGCTCCCATTTCCATGACCACATTAGACATCCAGCGAACAGAAGAACCAAGGCCAGAGAAGGACTGGGGCCTGGGACCGCACGCCTGTGGTACAGGACATTCTCGGAGCGCAGTGACCCTCTGAGGACTCAGTGGTACCAGGGAGTTTTAGGGGTACTGCCATGTTGTCTCATGCCATGTGGTTGGTTCACGGTCGTCACCCCCTTGATGCTGTCACCAGTCAGGATGGCAGCAAGCCTGGGGGTTGCTTTTTGTTTACTATGGGCTCAGCCCTCTGATGAAATGAGCCACCCACATGGAACACAAGTTCTTGTGGGATCCATGCAGTTCAAAGGCTCAGTGTGTACTGTCACACACACACCCTTTTTTTTTTTCAGATGGGCATCTGAGTCAGATTAGCATTAGGATAGAGCCGTAGACGTTACCCTCAGGTGCGTGGGCAAACTGAAGACCAGAGGAAGGAATCCCATGGTCCCAACCAGAGGCAGGGAGTCCCTGTGTCTTACCACAAATTATACTGCAGTAAAACAACAGCATCCAGATGTTTAGATGTCCTCTGGATTCCTAGGTATAGGCTGTTGCTGGGCTGGGTATCCAGGAAGAAAATAGAACAAAAGGGAGGTGTGCCTAGTACCTGTAGGGGGCACCATTTCTCTGGAATCCCATAAAGAAACTGGGCTGGAAAAGGTGACCTTGGTGTCTGTCTGTCACACCTGAGCATGGCATGGCCTGGGATTGCTCTGTGACCTTCTTCGCACTGGCAGGGATTTTTTTCTTTTTAATTTTTGTTTTACATGTATGTGTGTTTTCCCTAAATGTATGTCTGTATACCATGTATGTGCCTGGTGCCTATAGAGGCCAGAAGAGGGCATCAGATCCCCTGGAACTAGAGTTACAGGTGGTTGTGAGCCACCGCGTGGGTGCTGGAAACTAAACCTGGGTCCTTTGAAAGAGCAACAAGTGTTCTGACCACTGAACTATCTCTCTAGCCGGCATTGGTAGGAAGCTAAGTCCTTGAGAAACAACTTGTTAAAATAGTTAATTCTGCTTGAAACACTGGGGGCCACATGTGGTGCAGTTGCCTGGGACCATGTGGTCCAAGACAGTGCTGGACCTAACCACACGAAGTGATGGATGTCACTCCTCCATCCCCAAAACCTGATCCAAAGTCTCCCGGGTTCTCTGAGGAACTGCTTGGAAAGGGAAAGACGGGAGAATCCCATATCCAGAAAGGGGAGATAGGAAGTTGAACTTAGAGTTTTGAGGTCTCTAGCATTGTTCATTCTCCCCTTTACTGGGGCAAGGAAGAGAATGCTGAATGGGACCCTCTGGGCTGGCCAGAGGACTTGGTTTCCCCATCTGGAAATCTATTTCCTTTCTTTTTCTTTTTTTCTGGCTTGATTATTTTACATTCCAATCCTTAAAGATCAAGCCCCCATTCTTGTATCAAAATACAGAGTCCATTCACTGTAATATTCTCCTGGGCCCTTCCCTGAGTTGCTGAGAAACTTTCCACTCTGGTGTTGTTACTGATCTGAAAGAGTGTCATTTGTCCCAGATCCTGTGGGTCCCAGCAATGGGCCATGGGATGTGTCTTCCCCTTCCCCAAGGGAAAGAAATCAAATTCTCCCAGGCGGATTTGAAATCTGGGATGATGAACCTTAAAATTGTTGGAAGAAAATAATCTTGTTGTTGGATAAGGAAACACACCAGCAGTGTGAAAGTAACCAGGCAAGGGGATTTCTTTTTTGTAAAAAGTGTACACCGTGACCTAAGCCAGGCTAGCAAGCACGCCAGGGCCAGGTATTCAGTGTCTGTTTTAGTGAGAGTCGTGGCTGTGTTTTTTCTCCAGTGGCTGGGGTCCTACCTCTCAGTCTTTCACAGTTCTGTACTTTTCAAAGAATCATTGCAAAGGAAATGAGGGAATGGCGGAATGGGCTCAGCTGCTCCAGGTCTCAGGATTCTGGGAATGATGTAGTCTCACCCAGGGGAGATGAAAAGACTTCCATACAAGTTTTACAAGGTGGGGGAGATTGATGGAATATTGGCACTTGGTGTGGGCTAGCCAACTTTTTACAGAAAAGCAAAACCAAAAACATTCCTCACCTGGATACCCGGGGAAGTAATTTAGAAAGCTTGAGGACACATCCTGTCCTCTTGGGGTGACAGTAGGACCCTTCTCACTTGTCTAAAAGCACTCTGGCTATTCCCATTGAAGTATTTTTTAATAGGGGCCGGGCGTTGGTGACGCACACCTTTAATCCCAGCACTCAGGAGGCAGAGGCAGGTGGATCTCTGTGAGTTCGAGGCCAGCCTGGTCTACAGAGTGAGTTCCAGGACAGCCTCCAAAACAATACAGAGAAACCCTGTCTCGAAAAAACAAAAACAAAAAAAATTTTTTTTAGTTTTATGCATGTGAGTTTTTTGCCTGAATGTATGTCTGCACACCATATGTATGCAGTGCTCAGAAGATGACATCTTATTTCCTGGAACTAGAGTTACAAATGGCGTGAGCCACTAATTGTGGGTGCCAGGAAT